TCCATCTGCCCCAGAGATGGACTTTTCCTTACTTTGGCCAAAAACTGGCTTCAGGATGTGTTTTTTCCTCTTTCCTTTCTCCAGCTCTTTGTTTAAAAGCAAGCAAGCAAACAAACAATCTTTTTTTTTTTATTTTGGGAAACCAAACCTACATTCTCTCCCTCTGTTGGAACAGCTTTTTACTCAAGCTGTGGGGAGCAGGGAAAACACCCCTTCCTTCTCAGCCCTTGTCTAAAAAGTTGGTGACTTTGATTTTCTTCTGTCAGTCGTGAATGTTATTCCCTCGCTAAGCAGTCTCTCTCTTCCACCCACCCCCCCAAACTTCGGTAATCACAAACATGCATGAAAGAGGGAAGGGGGGGGCAGAGGGAAAGTCTTAAATCAGCCCCAAAGCCAGACAGACGTTTTAATCAAATCAAATTAGAATCAGCAGCGGGTTTTTTGGGGGGTGGGGACGGGAGGGGTGGGGGAGACGAAGCGCACGGCAAGACCCCCCGCCCCATCCCCCCCGCGCTCCGAAATGAAGGAGATGCGAGCCCTTACCTGAAACCCCCCCAGCAACACATAGCATAGTAGCCTCAAGAGTGTGGGCTGGGGGCGACGCTGCGGGTGAGCAGGCAAACGGTTTTGTTCCGAATGATCGCGGCAGATCCCTGGCGCGGAGCGAAAAGTTGCCTTTCTCTCCCCGGCCGGCTCTGCCCGGGGATCCGTTCCGTTCCGTTCCTTTTCTTTCTTTTTTTTAACTTCCCCCCTCTGCCTTCCCTATTTGTTTGGGTTTGTATTTGCTGGGTGTTACATGGGGGGAAAAAAGCTGCCTGAACTTTTTTTTTCTCCCCCCCGGTATGTGCGCAAACTTTTCACCACGCTCTCGCTCGGCTGGCTCGCTCGCTCGCTCGCTCTTTCTCCATCCCCCTCCACCTCCCGTGATTTGCTCTTTTGATTGGTGTCCAGGAATGTAAGAATATATATTTAAAAAAACCATTGAAAAGGAAAAGTGCATACACCCGCTGTCGAAGCGACTGGCTTAAAAAAAAAATTGAAAGTGTATTAAGCAGAACCTGGTTGCTTTCAAGAATGTATTTGATGCAATTGTATACAAGCGAAAGCTCATTCATTTTTCTGCCCCCCCCACCCCAATATACCCCTTTTCAAACTTTGGAGTGGGAAGGGGGGGGAGAGAGGTAAAGGTGGTAGCAATAGGTGCTCCCCCCATGCTTAAAAAAAAAAGAGAGAGAGAGAACTTGGGAGGGGGGCTTGTTTTTGTCAAAGAACTATCCAGAGGAAATGCCAGCCCACCATACTCCACCCCCTCCCCATCCCGCTCTCTAGATCTCTGGATGCTGCCAGGATTTGCTAGTGGCATTTTCCCCCTAAGGGGGGGCTTCCAGAAAAGGTTGGGAGGGAGAGGAAAAAAAAAACAAATGTGTTTGGTGAGGAGAGAGAGGACTCATCAATTGGGGTCCTGAATGAGGAGAAATGGGTTGGCTTCCCCCTTGGAGGAGGGAAGGCTGGAGAAAGGTACCAGGGGCGCCTACCTGCTCTGAACTCCATCTGGTTAAAGCCCCAGTCCGGTGCAGCCCTGGAAGGTAGGTGTGTGACTGAATGCTTCCTTTCGCCGAGGGGTCTGCATGGAGTCTGCTGCCTCCTTTATTCTGGGCCAGGATTAATAATCCCATTTGCCAATCCCACTCACTTGGGTTTGGTTGTGGGTTTGGTTCCCCCCCCCTTCTTAAATGTGAATGTGTGTGTGCGTGCGTGCGCCTGTGTGGTTCTTTTTTTTTTAATTTGGTGAAGATCTTTATGAACCCTTCTCTTCTAACCCCCCTTTCCGTTCTGACGTGTAAAGCTTGAACCACAAAGCAAAGCCCAGTCCCAGAGGGTGGGAGAGAGGGTGCGGGGGCATTGGGGGGGGAGGAGAGGTACCGCAGATTGGCTCCCCTCCCCTCCCGAGGAGACAAGGGCGAGGTGAGTGTGTGGAAAACCACCCTGTCTCGGGCTGAAATGCCAGATTTGGAAAGGGAGGTGGAGGGAGGAAAGGGGTGGGGAATACAAAGAAGAAGAAATGACCCATTTCTCTTCCTCCACTTCTTTCCCTTTTTCTCAGCCTTCCCCTACTAACTAACTGTCCGGGATACTTTCCTGATCAAGAATCCCTTTGCCCCCATTGTTTTGGCCTGGACAGTGGCGGCTGGTTTTTCTTTGTTTGGGGTTTGTTTGTTTGCTTGTTTGTTTACCTCAGAGGTCAACTCAGTGCCAGGTACTTGGGCAGCAGGGCTGCCTCCCTGCTGCCCTTTCACAGGAAGCAAAATACAATAGCTTGCTCAGTGGGCTGTGGTCAGATGCTTGTCCCAGTCTCACAATGGGAGTGCGCTTTAGTCATTGGCAGGTGACTAACCCCTCCAGGCGACAGATGTCAAGAAAGGCTGATGTGGGAGGGAGTGCTCGCGGAGTTGGCTCCACAGGCAGCCCAGGGCACTGGTGTGTGTGGGGAGGGCGGGAATGTTCTTTGTCTCCTTCCCTCCTCTCCCAAGCCAAACAAAAAACAAAAAACACACACACAGAAAACAATTCATAGGCATTTATTTCATTCCTCTCAAGGGTCTTCCGCCTTTCCATCCTTTTGTGCGTGTGATGATACAGTATCTGCAGGTTCTTCCAACTGTAATTCATTCATCAGTAGAAGACTTCCTAGTTTGTGACTCAGCACTCTGCTGTCCAACATGAGGGGCAACCTCCCTGATGGCTGAACTGCACTAGCCTGGAAAGGGGCTCTGCGTAAGGAGACAGGGGACACGGCAAAAAAAGAGAGCTCAGGCAGTTGAAGGAAGGGAAGGAAAACAAATTGGGTTTGATGCAGAATTCCTGTGTCAGAATTCCTGTGTCAGAATTCCTGTGTCAGAATTCTGCATCAAACCAAATTTGATCAGATCAGAATTCCTTTTTCTAAAATAATAATAATAATAATAACCCTACATCATCATGTCCTTGCAAATAAAATTGGTATGGTAGATTTTAAAATCCCGTATTGAGGGAATAGGTGCACACTACATACTGAAACTGATACTGTGTCTTTTATACAATCGATATCCTTTTAGCAAAACTTCAAGCACCACCACACACTAAGTATTGGTTTAGAGGTAAATGTTTGTCTCCTTCGTATGCACTGTTACGCAGAAATAAGCCCCCATACTCCTAGCAGAATTTGCACACACTGTGTGGCAGGCAGTCACATTTTGGATAGGCCCCAGTTCTGCAGCACTTTGCATGGGCATCAGTTTTCAAATTAGCAGGAAAAGTGGTTCCGACCCATAACATGTCCATTGCGGCAAGAATTGGTCTAGTGTGGGTGTTTCTTTTGTACAAGTAAATCACATTTAAAGACCTTGGGATCTGCATAGAAGTTCCGTTTTACTGGAGTTTTGTGCAGTGTCAGAATGTGTCTGCGCTTTTTTACTGTGTCAGTTAAAACGTTATCTGGTACAAAAATTATTCCCTGATTTTCAATAGCTAAGACATTGTTTGTTTTCAATTACTCTCCTTTGATTAGGACCAACTTTGCTGATGGGATACTTTCTAACTCGATGAGGACTTTGGAAATAAACTTCACTTTTAAAATAAACTATCAAATGTTATTAAGCCTGGCATGTCAGGTATATACCAAAAGTGGGAGGGAAACCCAAACCCTGTTTATTCACATTACTAAATATTTACATATTTTGCAAACTGGGAAAGCAAGGAAGAGACGGGTTTTGTGCTGTACAAGGAAATCAAATCACTTCATCCAAAATTAATTGCATTTGTGAGTATATATATTTTTCGTTGTTAAAACCTGACTCGTTATTTACATGGAAAAACTATTATAGGGCTTTGAACTTTAGGAAGGGAAGAGGGAGGGAAACATATTTCATTTTCCCCCTTGAAGGCTTTGTGTAAAAACAAAGGCACTTACAGACACAACTCATTTCAGCATTTTTTGCTCCCATTAAAAAAAATTGTACCTCAATAAGGTAAAATTCTGGATTCATTTCAAATGCAGTTTGAGTTTAAACTGCTCAGCTTCTTGAATCTTGTAAAATGGTTTAAACCATATATTCATCATATGATAGAATTCCCATTCTTTCACATAGCTATTTTCAACTATTTCACACTCCTTTTTACGTATGAGTGTGAAAAAAGATTTATCAACCTGAAGTTCAACTGAAGTGAGCTGAGATTTAATTTATATGCAGAATAAATAAATCTATAATCACCAACCATTCCATCCAGATACATAGCTACAAGAGGCAGAGACAAAGTGTTGTGTCCCCTTTTTGTCTAAACACAAATTTACATGTTCATAGAAATCATGGATTTTTGGGGGGCACGGAACTTCCTCGTCCTTCCATGCTGTGTTTTTGAATCTGCTCCAATAGAATGCAAAATTAACTGATAGGGGCTTTGCGGGGTGGGGATGGGGGGACACAGGGTGTGGACAGCATTGAACTCAGAAGGCAAATCCTAAGATGTGAGTTTGTCGTTCCTGACCTACAGAGGAGATATTCCTGTCAGAAAAGTTCTCAGGTTTGCAACACAAACGTTAAACAGTGGATTTTCTTTAGTTTTAATAAAAGGACACTTGAGAAGCTCTGAATGTAACAGACCTATTATGAGTTGTGGATGTGCAGAAAATGTGTGACATGTTCTGTAGGACTGCAAATATGATAAAACAAGATATCGTTCTCCTAATAAGTGGCATCCCATTAAACAAAAAATATATCGCTGGCAATTGTAAGTAGAACACAGTGTATATGCTAAGAAGCAGCCGAGAGAATTCACAGAGGTTTTGGGGAATGGTGGTAGAGGGGTTTCCTCTGTGGTTATTTTTATGCACATACAAATCCATTCCTCTAAAATATGCAGACAGTCCGTGAAACATAGCAAAATGAAGGTCTATGTTTAGATCGCAAGTCTTCATTTGTCCTGTTCTGAAAGCAGTCCTGGAGTTAGTCCCAGAAGTGTGGGTGAAGGATATGCCCTAGATATGTATTGGGAGGTACATTCTGAAAGATCAGTAGCTGTGCCAAACAATGATGCATGTGATGCTCATGCAGACAGTTTGCCCCATTTGGGACATGATGGGTTTTGTGAATCATAAGCTGGCACAACTCAGGACCCTAAAACACAGAGGAGAGATGTTCTAGTTGAAGGGAGAAAGGCACATATACCTTAGGAGACATAAATGCCAGAGGAATGTATGTGCCTGCTTGGTAACTGAAAAGAGAAAAAGGGTCATGTCATTTTGCCTTAAAAGATTCATTCATTTGTCTTCAAGTGCTGGGTCTATAACCATTGCAGAGAGTGGCTCTAGAAGTGAAAGGATAGGGGAAGCCCCTTACCCTTTTAAAGATAATATTTGCTTCTTACACAAGCAGCTTCTGTTTTACAGACTTCGTTGTTGTTTAGTCATTACGTTGTGTCCGACTCTTCGTGACCTCATGGACCAGAGCACGCCAGGCCCTCCTGTCTTCCACTGCCTCCCGGAGTTTGGTCAAAGTTTTAAGGACTAAAATAGTACTAAATTCTCCTCTCTGTTGCCGTTCAAAAATTGTTCTGCACCACAATAGTTTTGCAGTACCTCAGCCCTTGTCTTCATGCTGTGCTAAACCCCCCTTGCTCAAAGGATTTGACTAATCACTTTCTTCCCTCCCTCCCCCCCCCCACCCCGTGGGTGGGTGGGTGGGGTGGCGGCACTTCAAAATAACCTCTAAAGACTCAAGTCATTTTCAGGAGCGTTTCTCCACCTGCAACTTTAATTTTTATGTTATTTTGTTGCTGACACAGCCTGG